GAACAAGATTCGTTCGTGGCATTGCGAGCGCTTGGAGAGGCGTTCGCAGTCGACATCTCGAGATCGAGAAACAAATTACGGGAGTGCACGTGATCCCAATGCTAATCGGGCATTATTATGGGGGATGATGATAAAGGATGGCGATAGACCAGGACGAAGCAAAGCCTTCACTTTTTGCTACTCGGTATGTATTATTTTGAGACAATCTGAATCTCAGAATCAGAAAAAGAATTGAATAAGAAGCAGAAGCGCCCAGACGGCGCAATTCCCATTTGACAAATACAACCAGATACGCCAAGGCCATGCTCGACTGTCAACCGGCAAACGGACTTCCTCCTAGCGATAGCTACCTGCTTTAACAACAACTTTAAATCCCCGGGGTATCTTTCATGTCTCTCTTCTCATTCTTTTCGTGAAAAAAACAAAAGGAATTAGGATCAGATCTCTAGTTGCCGCCCCGACCCCGACCGCGGCCACGACCCCGACCACCACCACGGCCTCTGTCGCCCCGACCACCTTCGCGTGGGCCACGGTTCCGATTCTGCGGCTGGTTCTGCTGTTGTTCCTTCACCATTTCCACAATCTCTTCGGGGATGCGTAGGTATTTAATCTATGAGAAAGAGGGGGAAACGGTCAGATGTTGAAGACTCGGGGGAACCGAGCCACTGCTTGGCTCCTTCCGTGGGTGCACTCACATTGTTTCCTCTGACGTAGACTTCCGGTAGGCGGAAGAACTTGTCTCCCTCGGGACTCGTCTGGACAACTTCCTTGAGTATGAGGTTCATCCAGTTGTCGCAGTTGGCGAGATGTCCATTGAGCGTCTCGCCGTTCTTGAGTTCGACGAGCATGGGGTGGCCCTGCGCGGCCGTCAGGAGACCTAGAGGCAACTATTCACGGAGTCAGCAGGGTTCAAAAGTACAGAAAGGATCAATTGCGGCTGGAGTGGTTTACCATCTCTGGAGACTGTTCAGCAAGGTAGGATATTGACTTGATAAGTGGAGTGGTACGCGTTTGCGCAAGCGCTCAATCGATAGTCCCGATATCTCTGAGACGGGCAGACTAGAATTGAGTGTGGAAGTGGTGGGAATCAAAGAACGCAATATGAATATCGAAGCAAGAATCACGGTTAAGATGTGGTAATGAGCGCGGGCTGGAAGAGGCTCCGCATGAGCTTCCATGCTGTGGCGGTGATCGCAGCCCCGGGCCAATCCGGAAAAACATGGCCCCGCGATTGGCCGGCCAGCCCTCATATCTCCTTAAGAGTCCAGTGACCCTGGCTTAGTTCCATTGTCTGTGTCCGGCCGTATTTAGTCTGTTGTTCCCCCCAAATACAATCAATTCGAAGGATGCGCTTTTCTCCTCAACTGCAATGCTTGTTATGCTCCCTGAGATTACCAATGGGATAGCTTATTATTTCTCACACAGCCTCATATATTGAAGATATAACCAAAGTGTTTTTCCCGGACTCAACTATATACATCATGAGTGACAGGCGTCGCATCTCCACTCGGGGCTCCGTATCCCGATGGTCAGCATTCATGATGTTCACCCTCATCACCGACTATACAGTCGAGGGTGCTCCTATTGCTCACACTAGCATCGACCACTCCTTCCCAAAGCGTCTCAGTCAGTAGTTTCACACCGTACCAGCAACCACTCATGACAGGATTCTAAATGTCCCATGTAGTAGACGATGCAGCCGCGACCAAGATGACTCGGTCGCTATGTCTGGCCGAAGACTCCGACCGGAGCTGCGGCTTGCTCAGGAAGATCTCCGAGTACAAGCAGCAGGTGTCCATCACGAAGCTCGTCGTGCTCGCCTGCCTACTTGCCGCATGCGCCGTGGTCTACCGGATCTGTCTGAACACGATGTACTGTCAACGCCGCCGGGTCGACCGAGCAGCGCAGCGCGAAGAGAGGAAAGCTCGCCGGGCCTACAAGGCTGCCGCACGACGGCTCCGATGGCATCGCTGGTGGGAGAGGAAGCCTACTGCTGATTCGCCAGCTCCGGAACCCGAGAATGAACTCTTCGTCATAGACATGCCGCCGGAAGAGCCCGGTCGAATGCAGGTGGGCTCGGACGCGGCTTCTCTGCCCGGAGCCATGCAAGATGAACTGCAGAACTTAAGACAGACACTTGCATGCGTCGGGAAATTGATCGGGGCGGAGAACATCCAGAGCGCAACGCAGCAGGATCTGATCCGACCAGATGGTGATCAGATACCAAGCCTAGATGGTAAGCGCCGCATGTCCTCGGAGACACTCGCTACGTCGACTGTCGGATTATCGACCATCACGTTTACTGCGACGAGTAGTCGAGTGAGCCATGGGCCTGGGTCCTCTAAGACGGTGAAATCAGTGGACACACTAGATTCGGCCTCTCCACCTAGCTACAGATCATGATCTGCACATGATGCACTAGTAGTACGGAATGAGAGATCATATATTCGGCCATGGCTCATTGCAGAAATGGTTCTGGAGAGATCATAAAGCTTATTAGTACATTGACCTGGTCACGGGTTCACCGATCGAGGACCAGTCGTGCGCGAACGCTACGCTGTCTACGCCTTCGGTCGCTTGACAGGCGAGTCCTCCTCCTCGTCCTCGTCCTCGTCCTCGTCATCTTCCACCGTGAGTTTTCGCTTATTGCGCTGTACCCTGAAGCCTTCACCCGACTCATCCAAGACGTCGTCATCCAGGTCTTCTTCTCTGGCTTTCAGCTCCTCTTCGCGAGCGTTGAATGCTTTAAGTAGCGCTTCATAACCTTCCTCAACATTGGTGACCGTCTCCTCCAGCTTTTCAATGCGGTCGCTCAGATCCAGTTGGATCAAGAGGTCCCGAGAGCGTTTGTAGAGACGCTGCTTGGTGAGCATGCGCCACCAGTAGTACCGCCGATCATCGGGGTCATCCGCATTGTGCTTCTTGATCAGAAGTCGGGCCATGTTGCTTCCGCCAGCTAGTCGCTTCTTAAGAGGGATCTGACCCAAGAGATACATTTCCGAAATATGAGCGAATTGAGTGGAGTCGATTTTGAACGAGGAGCGGATCTCTGAGAGCAGCTTGGTCGGAATCAGGGCGGATGTGGGCACGCGCCGAGGGCGGGGCTTCTTCGCCGGTACCCCATAAGGGTCTGGATTGATGTTCAGCTTGTGCTTCTGGAATTCTGAGCGAAGGATGTGGTAGTCGGCGGTATCGCGAAGGGCATCAAATGCTTCATTCGGGTCCTCAACGGTCAATTCGGAAATCGTGGGGTCGCTAATGCAGGCACTGTGGATAGTCGTGTACAGATGAATACCGTGGCCCGAGCCTTGATGAGGAGGAAGTATGAGGAATTGAGCGATTCGCAAACGCGACGGAAGCTGAGCGGGTCTGATCACCTCAGCCGGAGGGAAAGGGCTATCTTGGACGGCGGGCTTTTGTGTCTTGTCTCTCTGGTAATACCACCAACGATACGTTGTCGCATATCCGACAATGGAATACTGTGAAGCAGTGGGCACTGGCGGCTTGACCTTCTCATAGCTGAAAGCGTTGTTAGCATGAGAAGCGAATGCTGGGGACCAGTTATGAAGATGGTAATCAAAACGTACACAAAGTAGACCGTCCATCTTTCCAGCGTCCATTCGGGATCATCCGTGACAATGGGCGTTCCAGCTTCGATGAAGAGTGAAACAAAGACTTGCGCGCGATCCAACAGTCGTCGCACCTCCGGATCGGCTAAAGACCCTGCCCAGACCTCATATGTTCTCTGTCGGGTGACGTAGCTGTGAACGAGTTTGCCTGGAGGTACAAAATCCTTGGCGTCCTTGTCCTCCACGATAGCCTTCTCATAATCCGGGAGTACAACGAAAGCCTCTGGGAAACCACACAGTTGAAGTTAGGACAAAAGAGCTATGACGCCCACGAATCCGGCAGATGCCGGAGGGGGCAGAGATATGGCATGTCACTTTACCTTCAGGAATCCATGGCTTCAAAGTCTTCAGTAGATCGACGGCGGCGATGTCCCCCACAGGCTTGAACTTTTCGTCGTAGGATATGTGAATATGCGGGCGGAGGTCGTGGGCGGCGAATCGCATGCGGATAATCAGGCCCTTGTAGCCGAAGATCTGTTCTTCATCGCCGAAGATAGGGTATGTGAATTGAGGTTGAAAGTCGGAGAGAGTCTTGAGTCTCGCATCTTCGGAAGGTTGGACTAAAGACAGGTGGAGGGCGTCATTGGCGTCGCAAGTCCCTGTAGAAGCGGGTTTTTTGTGGTCAGTAGAGTGGGTGGCAGAGGGAGAGGGGAGAAGGGGCCTTCATTACAGTCGCCGTCGCTCGCCATGATGCCAGACACGTAGTTGAGGAAAGGTTTGAGGAAGCGATGAGCTCAAGAAGATGGGTGGAAGAAAGCTACGGTAGGCTCTCTCGTTCTCTCATTAATTGCATTTGAAGGCGGCGCGTGTTGCCCGAATCGATCGCGTTGCGCGGCGGAGCTGGGTATAACCGTTTCTGGTTTAGCGCGTCGAGGGCCAGAGTGAGCTCGGCTGCTGTGCTGAGGAAGTGAATGAGGATTACTTTTGCCATTACTATGATTATGGGCCAGCTGTACAGGTGAAGAAAACCTTCGTGTATAAAGTGGTGCAACGTGCTGGGATTGATGTCCTCGTTGCAATCTGTACCTCCCAATCATATGAGCACCATGTTCTACATCTTGACCATGCATAACCTCGGCTCCTACTTTTGCACTACAATGTATGCCATCGCGCTGGCGAAAACCATCTGAAAGCTGTTTCATCAGCAGTCTGCATCCTCATGGCTGGTCTGACTACTGACAGAATACATGAGCCATGAGAATATAACGAAAGATTGATATAAGGATTATCGAAAATAGTGTCTTCGCTTCACAATCCTCAGCAGATCGCATTGCTAGGCCTTGGAACTATTGGTATATCTACGGCAGCTCTGCATCTTTCTCGTAATAATACATTCAGCAACACGTTTGACATAATGCTCGTTTCTGAAATTATATGACGGAGACACCTTCTAGACATTTGAGTTAGCACCTACTTGCCGCTGACCACCTTACCGCTGATGACAGGGCTGCGACATATGCGGTAGAGTCGCTCATTTGCGAAAGATGTTTGCAAATCCAGTCAATGCTGAAGAGTGTGCGCATATCAGCCCCTATTGCGCAGGAGTAATTACTGCGGGGTCTCGAGTTGAACAGAGCCTCTGGGCTCCAGCTTTTGCCCACTTGAAAACCAGTATATTGGGTATCGCCGCGTCCGCTTAATGACTCAAGGTGTGAGATAGAACTCGTTTGTTGGTGGCTCACCCCTTCAATCTAGCCCATATTATGCCGTTGCTAAGAACTGTTCTTAGCCTCAAGACTCTGCCCGAGCTTGTTGAGTTCGCGCGTGCCTGTTTCTCTGTACCTGGCTCAAGACATCGGCCAGTGGTTACTCGAAAAGAAACGCCGGACTTTGGGGGTAAGCGGTTGATATTTGTGTTACTGAGAGGGGCAAGAATCTGTCGTCGATGCGGAGGATCTCGATACAATCTTGGTGGCCAGTCTTGGTCTACCCTGAGATGGGCTGGGAACGATATCTTCGAGAACTACCAACAAAGAGATGGAGAAGGTGGCATCAGAGCCTTCTTCTAAGCACACTCGGTGAAATCATGCAGGGGATATGAGATGAACCAAGTTGATGCTTGAGGCGAAGCAGGGACCGAGTGGAATGAATGGATCTCCCAAGTCAATCGCGTATGCATTATTAAATGCTGAACAAAGCTCGCGAAAAGGAAACACTCTTGAGGGATCTATTCCAGACCAACCAAGAGGTCCGGGGTGAATGAGGCAGAAATGAAGCTCACTCAACGCGCGACTTTATGAGGATTGGGAAAGGATTGTATCTATGCTCCGTATGCCTATACAAATAATTAGTGCACTCACTGCATGTAAAATGGGTGTCTCCAATTCCGTCATTCCATCCCTGAGCGGTGGGTCTTCCCGTGTCGCTTGACTGGGCCCGGGCGTTGTTCCTAGCCCGTAGGTTTCTATTGTTGAACTTTTGTTCACTTGCCCACTGCGGCAGCGGATCGCAATAATAATCAACTCCGTCGACTTAAGACTTAGACTAGGCCTAACCCAGAGCTGTCCACCTCCGCCACGTTTTCAGTTCTCGTCTACTCCGACCGCCTTGGATAGACACTTCTAAAGCCCTCCGCTCTTTCGGATCTTGTCCTCTTCTTCCCTCATTTTCCTCATTGTCCCCTCACGTTCTGCACAATTTGTTGTCGGGCGTCTACGCACATCGCAGCGCCACCGACGTAGGATCAGGGGCGTGCCGAGTACATTATTTTCGCAATTGGCATCATGATTGAAACCTTCTAGACCGGCGAAGAAACAATGGAGGGACTTTTCACTCTGCTCGCCCTGAGCATTGTGATGGCAATTACGTGAGGATCCATCGTTCAATAAGGCATCGTCCACTGTCTCAAACAACTCCCTCGCTAACCGCTTCCCTTCGACTCCGGCAGATCTTTTGCTGTGGGCTCATTACCACTTGCATTTACACTCTCCCCTTCCCAGCTGAGGCTAATATCCTCCATTGGTATGGGAGTATTGGTTGGAACATCCTTGATCGTCATTATCCCAGAAGGGGTGGAGACCCTGTACAGCGCGAGCTCGCCTGCCGTCCGCAATGGTATCAGCACCCGGTCGACATCGACAGCCGTCAATTGGCCAATTCATAAATCGCCGGCAGTCAAAATCTACGAGCCGAGAGATATTCTGAGTTTTGGTGATACAGTGGAGGTGCCCCCGCCGGACTTTGACAGCGTGCCGACTACACCTACGCTACGTGTCACCCGTGATGAACAAAACCAGATACATGAACGGAAAGAAGAGACATCAGGCGACACCGAACACAAAGCTCATGAGGAAGAGAGCTCGCCTCACGCATGGATTGGAATCGCGCTCATCAGTGGCTTCATACTGATGTACCTTATTGACAAGCTCCCTGTTTTAGCGTCGCCGAGCAAACAGGAGAGAACCCCCTACCACATATCACTGGACAACCTGGGATCGGGGTTGCGACGGAATTCATCCCCGTCGCGGGAAGGAGGTCTCTTGGATGCTGGAAATGTCCCCAAAAGTAGCCACAGCTTCGCCACGACTACCGGACTCGTCATTCATGCTGCCGCTGATGGAATCGCCCTGGGTGCCTCTAGTTCCGACTCCGGACTCAGCTTTATCATATTCCTTGCGATCATGGTACATAAGGCCCCGGCTTCCTTCGGTCTCACTTCTGTGCTGCTCAAACAGGGGCTCTCTAGCCGCACCGCCAGAGCTCATTTGTTGGTTTTTAGTTTGGCAGCCCCCTTGGGAGCTTTGATGACTTTCTTATTTGTGCAAGTCATGGGTTCGGGCTCTAGCGGCGACGAAATGAGTACGCGTTGGAGGACAGGTGTACTGCTGTTGTTCTCTGCTGGTACCTTCTTGTGAGCTCTCCCTTGGACGCGCCCCGCTCAAGATCAAAAATTTAACTGTTCTGCAGATATGTCGCCATGCATACGATGCAAGAAAATAGTCCCAACACCTCCCGTGAATCTCCCGCAAATGGGTATAGTGATCCTCGGGATCTCCCAGCGAAGCACGACAAGTCCATGAGAGATCTTATCGCTTCTGTCGTTGGCATGATCTTGCCATTATTCCTGCAATTAGGCCATGCTCACTAGTCTCAAAGGTCGTTACGAGGCGGTTGATTCTGCGCCTTGTTGACTAATCTTATTTTGGATTCTACCCTTGTTCGACTTTATCGATCCACGAGTCCATAATCATCAAAGGACGTCGCTGCGGAAACAACCCTTCCCCTCCCGTTGCTCTCAGGGAGACTGTCTTGTTATTATAGACTACATCGTGACTAGGATTAATACCCTTGTTTGACGCTATAATCTGCTTGTGATATAAATCTTGGGATAGAAACGGTGCTGCGATTTTCTGCTTCCTATTTTTACCATGCATTGGGGAGTCTTCACTTTGTATACATTTTTTTGTGACAAGTTCAAGTTGTTCATCCTGCATATGTATGAGCTGGTAGTACCAGTCATGGTTACGTATGTAGATTGACCCAGGAACTATGGAGGGGAAAAGGAGGGGGTCCCCGGAAAACGGGAACCACGATCACCCCTTTCCCCGCATAACGACGGCAAGCTTGAAATCGTCCTTGGATTTGCCCCGATTCCACGGTTGTCGGACAGATCCTGCCGACTCCCATCCAGGGACTCGGAAGAACTATATCTCTGGTCAGGCGCCCTTTATTCCGACAACTAGCGCTCCTAGGTCGCATTCTCTGCGCGCGCCGGGGGTGGGGGGAAGGGGACGTGAGGAGGGCAGATTTATAATCGGACAGGGGTAAGCTTAGTTATCTCTCCGCGTTGACTCTGGAAGGAGTTGGCCTTGTTTCGGAGATTGTAGGACTTATGTGCAGTACCTGGAGAAGCTTCTTCATCTTGTTCTCATTTGCCTCTGACGACAGATGGTGCATAGGGCACGCACGACCTCAGAGGCCATCGGAGGTCGTCTCTCATTGGTGGCGGGTTTTTTTTTATGTTTTATTTATTTGTCTGTTTATTTTCCTTCGAAAATTGCCAGTGTGGGAGCTTGTGATCGCATAACTAATCTCCTGGTCGCTGATGTGTCGCATGCATGGAAGGAGGGTGGAGAAAAGCAGGGGTCCACATCCTACAGGTCAGGCGCATGTAGGAGCGACGAGTGGAAAGGAGGAGTAAAAGATTTTGAACAAGCAGGGGTAGACGAGAGGAGGGTAGAGAAGAGGAGAAGAAGGCAGGGAGCGGGATTCCGAGTACTGTTCAAGGAAGAAGGGAGGAGGAGCCTGGAGGAGAGGGATGGAGAGAGGGATAGAGAGAGGGAGGGAGGGAGGGAGGGTGGAGGGGGAAAACAGTTATGTGCATGCATGTAGGTAACTACAGTACTGCAGTATCTTACTGGTACTTGTCTCATGGATTGTATGTCGAATTCAATGAGTTCAATGAGTGGCTTGGCGGCTTCGGGCCCTCCCTGAACCACACTAAACCTTTCAGGGACTGCACCTGACCCTCTTTCGAAGTCTCTCTTACCGTCTTACGACATCGCATGATTCCAGCCAGCCCCAGCCCCAGTCCTGCCAGCCCGTAAGTTAGTGCTTAGTGCCTACAGTAGACTGACTCTGCTTTTAGTGTTGCTGCTCCTGTAGGTCCTGTAGGTCCTGTAGGTCCGCTCCTGTTTTGTCCTGTCCTGCTTCATTCCATCTTCTTCCTCCTCCACTAGACTATCTACATACTGTACAGTGCTACAG